TGGCCCAGGATCCAGCCGCTGTACACGGGAACACCTGGGTGGGATGTCCCCAACGCCTGGGCTGTCCCTCCTGGCTTGCCACAGCCCCAGGTTGGCCGGTGGCTCTGTGAGGGCCATGTCATGGGGTGTCTGGGCAGCCTGAGCTGTGCTGGGTTTGCAGGCGGAGGCACAGGCGTTGGGCCAGCAAGCACAGGGAGCGGCGGAGGCAGCCAGGGCAGGCTCGCTCGCTGATGCTATCGGTGGCACAGATCGCTTTTACAATCTGGTGTTTGCAGCACTGAGCTGCGGACAGGTAGGGTTAGGCTTGAGGGGTGACTCACAGCATGAACCAGAAAACTGCCCCTTGCCTCTCCATGCTTGGTCAGAAAATGGGATAATAACTAGTGTGGGAAGTGCTGTGAGGCTTCATCCCTCCATTCCCCTGACAGCCGCTGGGGCTTCTGGATGCAGGACTGGAATTCTTGACTGCTTAAACAATTGCTCTTAAGTATTTCGTCATGAAGTAGGGGAAGATGAAATTAAAAATATGATGAGTCGGAGCCCAGGCATTGCTCAGCCGCGGGCTTGGTGACCTGCCAGACTCCTGGGGGATGCTTTTAATTTGGATAAATGCAAGTTGCATAAATGGTATAAATTGCACATTGCTCTTGCTGCTAATACAGAGGTGTGGGCGCAGTTGGCAGTGCCGCCGTCGCCGGCTGAGCGCCCGGCCAGGCTGCGTGCCGGGGCCGGTGCAGCCATTGCCCGTGCACAGCTCCCACCCCGGGTGTCTGCAGGAGCCCCCCGGCTGCCGTGCAGGCTCCTTCTCTGGGATGCCGTTCCCTTCGCCCTTTGCCCTGCTGGGTTTTTTTTTGGAGAGGCTGTTTTCCAAAAACAGCTTGAAAATATGTAGCTATCATACCAGAGCTGAGAGGCCACACGTAGGTCTCCCGTCCCTGCCGGTCAGGCCAGTCCCTATGAGCTCATGGTGTTTGTGGTTTCCCAAAGCAGCTGTTCAGCGTTGGAAGGAAAAGCGCTGAGCAGCTGCAGAGACTGGGATTGCTTCTGTGCAGGAGCTGCCGTCGGGGGAGAAGTGGTGTCCAAGGTCTCAGGCGGTTTTATTCCCAGCTCTGCTGCTGATAAGCCCGATAGCCCTGGTAACACTTCCAGACCGGTAAAGTGGGGGAAAGTGGGAGTTTGGGGGGGTTTCTTGCTTTTGGCTTGCATGGGGCCAGGCAAGCGATAGACACAGAGTCCCTGCCGTTAGCATGGGCACCTCCTTGCAAGCTGACCTGACTGCCAAGGGATGAACACCAAGTGCCTTTTAAAAGTTACCTAAGATGTCCCTGTCTGCCTAAACCAGGGAAAATTGGCCGACCTCAAACACTCCTTACCTCATCCCATCTCTCCCAGCCAGCCGGCGTGTGCCCAGGCTGGGCTGAGTAACCTGGCAGGCAGCGCATGCATCACCGCGCCGGCAGCCGCCTGTGTCACACCGCCGCTCGTGGGGGAAAGGCAGGGCTGGCGCTGGGGGCCACCGTGTGTGCTGGGCTGAGGTGTGGAGCTGAGCTGCCCCCCCCTTGGGCCCGACCACAAGTGGAGACAGACAGGAGGGGACGTGGGGCTGAGCAGCGGGCTCAGTGATGTGAGGTGTGGCTCCGTCAGTGAGTCCATATATCCCATCACCTTGAAGGTGGGTCCTTGGAGGCGATGGGAGAAGCACCCTGTTGCTCAGCTGTAGGCCAAGGTGGCCTTCGCTACCTCCTACCCAGGTGCAGGAGCATCCAGGATGCAGGAGCCACATCTCCACCATAACATCCTACCCAAAACTTGAGGCCAGCCCTGCACGTACACACCCACTGGTCCTGCTGGGGTGCCCCTGCTGCAGCTTGGCTTGCGAGATACCAAAATGCTCCCTGCCTTGGCAACACCCTGCCTCCCACATGCTGCCCCACAAAGCACAGGCCACGGGCTGGTGGGTGCCCTGGCCCAGCCCCACGCACCCTTCCCTGGGGCTGGAGCTGGGGCGGTAGCGGGTGCCGGCAGCGCTCTGGTAGATGGCTGGTAAAAGCCACGGGCCTGGCTGCTGGCAGGGCTGGCACCCATGCTGGTATCCCCTCCTGCCCCACAGCGGGACCCCACTGTCCCCGGGGCTGCCCGATACCTCTCCCCGGGGGGGAACCCCATGTTTGCTGCACCTTGGGGTGCTTGTAGCTGCCAGGGCCCAGCTGGGTCAGGACTTGGCAGAGGGGACCTGGGGAGGACCCCAGAGGCTTGGGGGCATGGGGGGTGTAGCATGGGGGCTAGCAGGGCTATGGTGGGGGGAGTGGGGGATCCCAGCAGGGTCCTGGGCTGGCAGGGGGGGTGGGTCCTGGCCATGTTGGGGGGTCCCGAGGCATGTGGTCCCGGCAGAGGCGGGGGA